AATGGCAGTGGTGGTCTTGCCATTGTTGTTGGTGAAGTTGCCAATGGTGATGTTGCCATTGTCGTATCCATTGGCTGATGATGCATTGCTTGTGCTGGCAATGCCAGTGGTGTCTCTTGTGCTGTCTGTGTGCTTGTATCTTCCATTGTAGTGTCAGCCTGCGTTCCAATTGCTTGTCTGCTTGTGGTGTTGTCAGCTGGTAGAAGCAATTGTGGCGGAATTGCCATTGCTGTTGTTGGCAAGTTCCATGGATACACGTTGGTGGTATCCAATAGTTGCTTGTCGTACTTGTCTGGCATGATCTGTCTTCGAATTGTTCTTGCCTTGATTACTTTGCCAGGGACGCCAACCATTGACTCTCCAGTCATTGCGTCCCTGCCAAGCCAGATTCCTTTGAAGAATCTTGGCTCCATCTTGGGTTGTGCTTTTGTGGTTGGTATCATGTATTGTACTGTTTCTGCCATCTCGCATAGTGGTGCTTTGTGGTCCTTCTGCCATCGTCTTTGGTAACTTGTTTGTCCATCATTGTGCATGGCACACCTGTTCAGTAGCCAGGCTGCATGCCGTACAATCCACGGCATGACCGGATGTTGTACGCTCAGTGTGAGGTTGTAGCTTGTGGTCACTTGTTGTACCAGTGCTCGGACTTGCCCCATCAAGGTGCGATGGAATTGTTCAATGCTTCCTTGTGATTGTGACGAGTATGCCGGTGATTGTCGGATGTTGACATTGTTTCCGAGCTTTTGCGCAACTGTCTTCAACAGGTTCTGTATGTATTCTTCTTGGTCTGATTGTAGCGTTGTTGTGGATAGTGTTGCTTGTGCTCGTCCACATTCAAATAAGAATGTTTGTAGACATCGTGTCAGGTATTGTTGTTGTTGGTTCTTGTCTTGTACAAGAACTGCCATTGCCATACCTGATTCGACATCTATTGCCGTGAGTACTGGTAGTACTTGTTTGTCTCCAAATGCTTTCATGTAGGTGAAGTCCACTTGTATTACTGGTTGTTTGCTTGCTTGTTTTGGGTGATCGTCTGTTCTTCCTTTGCTCTTGACACATATTGGGCACCATGAGCGGTATGGTAAATGTGTCAGCTCATGTTCTAGCCTCTCTTGTCTTGTTGGTTGTTGTGGCGCCTTCATCCCTTTGGCGCGTTGTGCTTGTTGAGATTCATCTTCATTGTCCGTGTCGTACTCGTACTTGTACGTCGCTTCTTCCTCAAAATCTGTTGATCATGTCCATTGTCTGTCAAGCTGTCTTGCTCCTGATTCCTGCCAATTGTCATGGATTGTGTATCCTCTTCCTTGTTCCGTCCTGTTCACGAATGTTGTCCGTGTCGGTTTGAGTCGTCCAATGTCTGGACCATCATTTGTCTGTTGTGGTACGTACATTGTTGTCCGTGCTTGTACGTGACCTCGTTTCCAATAGTGTCCTTCTCTGATCCAGTAGTCTGTTGTTGGTGTCATTGTTGATGGATCAGGTACTGCCGTGGTTGTTGGTGCTGGCTTCTTCGTTGTGTGTCTGTATAGTGGGTCTCTGCTGACCTGCCGTGCTGTCCCGTCTTGTTCCGGGAGTTGTATTGCTGTTGATTGTTGTCGCACTTGTGGTGCCTGTTGTGCTTTCTCTGTTGTCTCTGTTGTCTTCGATGTTGTTGTCACTGGTTGTGCTGGTGGCTTGTTCACTCTAAACCATGTCTCTCCTGTCCACGTGTCTCCTTGTATCACTCGTCGTTGTTCGTGTTTGCTCAAGTCATGGTATTGTTCAACAATGTCTTCGTTGTTCCCGTCTGTTCGTCGAATGATTGTTCGTCTGTAGTTGCTCAATGTCTCCAGTGGCACTGGGCACTTGTCGCCAGGAACAAAGAGAGATTTCCTCTTGTTCCGGTGATACCGTACAAGGTATCCTTCATTGTTGTAGTTCCAGTAGTCGCTATTGCCTCCAAGGACTTGTTGTGGTCCATGTCTTGTCAGTGTTGTCGGGGCAATCATTGCAATCATGCCCTTTTGTGTGTGTCTCAGCTGTAGTTGTTGATGTTGTCCCAGGTTCATGACTGTTGCTGGCAAGTAGTAAAGGTTGTGCTGCTGCACCAAGGGAACATTGAATCCCTTGTCATGGCGCATTGTTGGGGTGTCGTTGAACCTGATGTCAAAGCCTTGTTCTGCCAGTCTTGTCACTGACAGGATTGGGTCGTGGATGTCACACACATAGAATGGTATGACAATTGGTTGTCCTCTTGACTGCATGTAGACCCATCTTACTCCATAGCATTGTATTGTCTTGTTCGTCACTGTCCTAAGGTTTGGGCTTTGTGCTTGATCGATCTTGTACACTGGATAGTTGTCTGCAAACCATAGTGGACAGACGTGTGTGGCTGCTCCACTGTCGATCATGATGTGCATAGTGTCTGTTGTGCCGCTGCTTGTGGTGTCTGTCTTGTAGCCATTGCCATTGTTGATCATAGCGATGACATGGATTGGGGTCATGTCATTGTTACCATTGGATGGAATTGGTGGAAGTGCCAATGGCTGTTGTCCTGGTTGTGGTCTCATATAGTCCTGACAGTACCATCCATTGTCATAGTCATCGTACCATTGTGCTGTTGCATCCTCAATGTCGTTGCTTTCTCCTTGTCCAATGTTGTGTATTGCCACTCGGCAATCTTTGGCAAAATGTCCTGTTCTTCCACATCTGTAGCGTGTATCTGTTGCTTGTTTTCCTTTGTTCTTTCCCTTGCCTTTGTTGTATCCTTTGCTGAATCCTTTGTTTCCTTTGTTGCCTCTTCCGAATGGATTGCCAAAGCCGATCGGACTGTTGTTGTAGTTGTTGAATCCTTTTCCTCCATACTTTCCTTTTCCTTTGAGGCTGTTGTTGTAACTGTTGTATCCGTAGCCGTTGTATCCTCCGTAGCCTTTGCCTTTGTTCTTTCCTTTTCCTTTGCCTTTTCCTTTGTAACTGTTGTACTTACCTTTTCCTTTGTGGATTGCATCAATGTCCATGGGTGCTTGTCCTCCACCAAAGCTTGTTGCTACACTGGATGATTGTGATCGTACTTGTTGTAGTTTGCTGAACGCTGTTGTTGATCTGTAGTACTCAATGATTGTTTGTTTGACTCTGGCATAGTTTGGGCTTTGTCCTGAAAGGAGTTGTAAGTGTTGTTGTAGTGATCCGCTTGTCTCGTTGAGCAGTACGGCAATCTTCACGGAGTCTGGGAGTGTTTGTCCATTGTCTCGCTCAAATCGTTGTAGCTCAAATTCCCATGTGGAAAATGATTCTTCGAAGTTGTTCTTGTCAAATGTTGGCTTCAACAATCTTGTCAAGTGTCCTATGGATCTTGTCCCCAATGGGATGGAGAAGCGGGTGCACAATTGTCTGTACATCTCGAAGCCAATTGTGTTTTGGTATTGTCTGCAGACTGTGGCTGCAGCTCCTGTTGTTGTGTTGATGAGGATGTACCTCAAATTTGTGCTGAGGCGAACGTGTCGTTCACCATCTTCGATTGTTGCTGCCGCTGCTCGTAGTTGTACCTCTGTGAGCTCTGCTGTGCCTCGTTCTGCTGCTTGTAGTAGTTCTGCGTAATCATTGTCTTGCAATCCCATGTATGCTGTGAACTTGTACTTCCATTCCTCGAACGTGCCATGGTCTCCATTGAAGAAGGGTGGTTTGAGTTTGTATCTGTTCATGTTTGCTATGTTTGCTGTTGTCTCATCTTCTGGAACTGGAGGCAGTCCATCTCCAGCTTGAGCTGCTGCTTGTTGTGCTGCCATTGTTGCAGCTGTGCAAGCTACCTATTGTAGGGTCAAGGCTTGCTCTCCGTTGTGTGTGTTTGTTGGCTTATGCCTGTTGTTGTATTGGAGCTCACCTGGATTGTTGTTACCAGGATCCTTACTCCGCTACCATGTAAAATTCAGCAGCTGTTTGTTTGTCGTCTGTTTGTGCACGTCTCTGTATTGTTTCCTCTGGCAATTGTCCTTAGGCTCAAGCTAAGCTAGGCTCAAGGCCTTTGATCCAAGGTGCATTGTATAGCACCATGCAATTGTACATCAACAGTACGAGGGAGTAAAAGAACTATTGTAAATGAACTTGTCTCTTGACGAGAGAGAGAGAGAGACACAGAGAGAGAGAGAGAGAGACAGAGAGAGAGAGAGAGACAGAGAGAGAGAGAGAGAGAGAGAGACAGAGAGACAGACAGACCGACGGACAGACGGACGGACAGACAGACAGACAGAC